GGGGGGTAGACGTGTGGGTGGTAGGGCAGGTGAGCTGGCGGGCCGTAGGCTGGGGGCAGGGCACCATAAGAGGGGCCCTCGGTCTTCATCATGGACTGCAGGCTCTGGTAGCCCTCTCCAGACATGTAGGAGCTGGTGGTGGACATCCCGGTTATGTAGCTGGAGGGTGGCGGTGGCGGTGGCCGGTGTGGCAGCGGTGGTGGCTGGTGCACAGGGGCCGGGTGGGCCGGAGGAGGAATCTGGACTTTGGGGAGGTCACTGGCATCCACAGGGCCTGGCGGCTCAGCCTCACCTAAGGCAGCCGAGAGGGGAGGCTTCCGGTCTGCAGCAGAGAGACCAGTCAGTGCCCAGCAGCTCCACACAGATCACCCCCACACACCCCGGAGTCTAACTAAGATCCACATCAATCCTGCCCAGATAGGGATAAATGTTCACACACTGGTAGGGCTGTTTTCCTAAAACTGATCTAAACTCACTTTTCCAGAGTAGTTCTGTATTTCTGGATGTGACCATTCAAATATACTTAGAATTTACCACCTCAAAATACCTAGTTTGTGAAAAAGTATTTTAAAGATCCTTGGTCACTACTGTCCTAACAGTTTGGCTATAAAGTCTCTCCTCTCTAAACTTTGCCCAGGACCTCCCAAGCCTGCCCTTCAAAAAGGCAGGGAGAAAAGCTGGCATCCCAAGGCTCTCAGCAGACACTGACCTGGTGGTGGGTGGGCCGGAGGCAATGGAGGGTGAGTGGTCTCGATTTTGGGGATTTTAGGTGGTGGTGGTTCTACAAAGAAAAAGTAGATTAAAAAGCACTCATACCTCTTCATGTGAATAAACATTCATAGCAAAAGGGGAAAAAGAACAGATCAGAACAAAGCTTTAAGGTAACCTGAGGAAGGCCTCAGTTAAATCCTGCCCTGGCCAGTGTGGCTCAGTGGGTTGGGCACTGTCTGGTGCACAGAAAGGTTGCCAGTTTGATTCCCGGTCAGGCACAAGCCCAACTGGGGGCTTGATCCCTGGTAGGGGGTGTGCCGGAGGCAGCTGATTGATGTTTCGCTCTCCCTCTCCCTTCCTCTCTCTCTAAAAATTGATTAAAAAATCTTTAAAAAACCACATTATGTACTAATCCTTTTAAAAGAACAAAACAAACACAACCCTTTGCTCTCCTACGCCCCTCTAAGAAGAAAACTAACCATCGATCCCCTTTTCCACAAGACAAGCCCTTCCAACGACCTGAGGGCAGCAGAGAAACACCTCAGTAACCCTGTGTGACCTACCGGGAGTCACCACTAATACACAGAACACAAAGAAAGGCCCTGAGTGCTCACAAGAAACAACCACCTTTTAATTCAGGTGCATTTCCAGTTTATTTATTTTCTCTCTCACAAATATTTGCTCCCTGTTGGCAGCCCTTCAGAAGCAGCACATTATCTGGCACCAGCAGAGAACTGGAAGTGAGCGACCTTAAAGCCAAGAAGTTGGGGCCACTTGGGGCAGAGGACACAGGCCAACCCTTCAGAGTCAAGCACCTGCATGTGACCAGCACCCACAGTAATGACTCGAGCCACCCAGAAGGCTACATCAAATCCAAAGCTTCTGTTTACAAGGGTAGAGAGTGTGCACACATGCCCAAAAAAGAATGCAATGTTTTTGTTTGCATGTTTTGGCCCATTCATCCTGAAGCTCACTCTGTCCGGCCTGTATAGCACTGATCTGATTCGGCTCTGGCGTTGCTGACCCCTTTCTTGGTTTCCTCTTAAACACAGAGCAGATTCAAGGTCCGGGACGTCTCTCTCTATCATCTTTCTCGGAGGCCAAATGCCCTCTCTCTAGGTGGATGGATCAACGCCTCTAGCTTCTATCCTCCAAAACCGGGAACCTGACTCTTGAGCCCCATCCCTAGACTCAGCAGCCAGCACCTTGCAAGCAACCTTCTCTGTCTCCTAACTGGTATCCCTCTCACCTCAGGCACTCCCTCCAAACTCCCTCCCACAGCCAGTCAGGCTAAAGTCCAACAGAAATATAGGGTGTCCCAAAAAATGTATACACACACAATTGAATAATTATAAAGGCAGTGTTTATTAAAATACATCTCATTTTCAAAATCGAGTTATCAGCTGTTACAGTATGTTTCCTTTTTTTTGGGACACCCTGTATAAAAAGAGCCACACATGTAACTTAGTTTTCTAGTAGCCACGTTCAGAAGAGGTAAAATTAATTTTAATATTTATCCTGACATAATCAACATAAAAATTGACTAATGAGGTTTTTACATTCTTTCTTTTTTATTGATTTTTTTTTTTTTTTTTAAGAGAGAAAGGGGAGAGAGGGAGGAAGAGGGGGAGAGAAACATCAATGTGAGAGAGAAACACTGATCGACTGCCTCCTATAGGCACCCCAACTGAGAATCAAACCCACAACCTAGGAACGTGCCCTGACTGGGAATCAAACCTGTAAACTTTTGGTGTATGGGACGATGCTCCAGCCACCTGGTCAGGGCTACATTCCTTACTAACTCTCAGAAATCTGGTGTATATTTTGCACTGAGGTCACATGGCCATCCGAGTCCGCCACATTGTCAGTACTCGACTGCCCCCGTAGCCAGTGGCACGTACCGCACCCCTCAGTCGAGATCTCATCTCCAGGCTGTGTCTGACCCTCCCTTCCAGGCCCCAAGGCCAACACTCTGACTCTGCCTCATCAGGTCTCACTCAGATGCTGGCAAACTCCTCCCCATTCCCAACCAGCTGTGCTATTACTGCTCCCAGGAGGAAACTCTTTCTAAAATAAATCAGACTTTGCCACGTTCCTGTTAAACAACTTCCCGTGGCGCCCACTGCCTATGCAAAATTCCTGTTTCTCCACGTAGGCAGGGATGTCATCGCTTCCAATCACATCTCAGTCCTATCAAAAGGGACGCCCTTCAGCTCTTCCTGCCCCAGTAAGACTCTCCTCTCTCCCTTTACTCCCAATTCCTTCGCTAACTTGCCTCCTTCTATCTAAAGGCTCCACCCCTCAACTCTAGTCCTCTTACAAGGTCACCACTGGCTGTTTCCACCTGTCCAACAGATGCCGCACATCAGCGCAGGACGACTGTACACCTACGTGGAAAGGAATGCACTCACTCTTGTGTGTCTCACACTGTTTTTGCTCATTTGAAGCTAAAAAAATTGACCTGTACTGAACTTGTCATTCCCCCAAAGATCCTGAGAAACATGTAGCTTTATTGTAACTTGAACAGTTCAATACATAATTCACTGAGGTCCTCCCGTGGAACTAAGCAACAGAGAAACAGAGACGAGCAGACACGCTCTGTGCCTTCAGTAAGCTCAGTACAACAGGGCTGATGACACAACTCTTCTCATTTTTTCCTGTCATCTTTCAGATTTTGCTCACTCTTTCTGTTTGCTTCCAACACAAACAAATCAATCAACTCTGGGCTCTACTACATATGTATATATAAAAGGAGTCGGAAAGAGGCCTGGCTCTCATAAGCAGCAGGGCTGGCTGTGTAGTGGTATCTGGGTGACACCCCCTGTCCACCACGTAGTCCCTTCTCCACACCATCCTGCCACTCAGTGTTCAGGACGGGGACAATCAGGGCCCTTCACACTCTTCCCGTCTTTACTGTGGCACACTTCGCTAATCTCTAACAATAAATATCGCTGCAGCAGGTCTCCTGCTTTCATTCCATTTTATAAATGTGACCAGTACATTGTTATTGAAACTTTTTCAGAATATGATCTAAAGATAGAGAGATGGAATACACAGAAGACAATGCACTTTTCCTGGCAGACAGGCTCAAGTTTGTGACAGGCTCTCAGGTTAAATTTTAAGGCCAATCTAATCTGAAAAGAAATGATATTGACTAAGAATTTAAAGTTTTTATAAGCAGACATATAAAACTAAAAAACAGAACCAGAAATTACCTGCTGCTTTGTTCTCTTCTTTGGGAGAAACAACCTGTTACAAAAGAAAACACAATCATTAACCCAGGCCCTGGGAAGAGTGAGAAACACAGATGATCTGGGCACGAGGTCACAGCGACAGAACGTGGCCTCAGACAAAACCACGTTGGCTTAACTTGCAGGGCAAACCTGCCACCGGCAGAGCACTGTGTCTGCTTCCTTCCTCTTTCCCTTTTCCAAATCAGTCAGAAACACCAACTTGTCTCAGTTCTGAAAAACACTAAGTCTCAGGCCCTCCAGTGCACTGCCCTAAACTTGATGAGCAGAGTTTGCTTATGCACATATATCCTGCATGGCTTCCTCTGGGGGCTGTGTAACATCAAATGCCTTCCCCTAGGTTGGGCTGCTACCTCGGGGAGAAGCTTCTACAAATACGGTCACTTAAAAATCCGAACACTACAGAGCCAGAGGGAAATGGATGCCCGTTCCAGCAGGGTGCAGATGCGGAAACCACACCCTGGCAGGCGTCAGGGCCCTGTCGGAGGTGACACAGACAGCAGCAGCTGGAGGATAGAGCCTCTCCTCTGACCACAGAAGTTTCCAGGATCCTCATGGACATGAAGCCTGGTAGTGAGTTCGGAAGCATTACCCCCTGCTTTCGGTGCTCCATACAATCCCTCAGAAACAGGAACGTGATCAGGTGGGGCACTGCCACCGGGAAATCCGGCCATGCCCAATGCCTATCTGGCCACTCACCGTGGCTCGTTTCACTTGGCGGGGAGGGCTAGGCTGCGGGGATGGTTTCTTGGGCTGCTGGGCTTGCTGTGGCGGTGGTGGTGGCTGGGCTGATGGCTGTGTGTCCTTTTGCTGGGGCTGTGGTGGTTCAGAGCCTTGAGCAGACTGTGACGGTGGAACTGGTGGCACTTGTGGTGTAGGATTGAGCGATGGGGGCTGATGCAGCTGATGAGGTGTGTGATGAGGCATCTGCTGTTTTCCTTGTGAGTAAAGATCCAGGATTTGGTGGCAGATGTCTAAATGATAGGCAACAATTACATTTACCACAAATTGATTTCTTAAATAAAATTTTACCTAGAAAAAAAAAAAATCAGCCCATTTCCCTTTGAATCACAATTCCCCTTCAAGGACCAAATGCGGGAATCGTATTTTAAATTCACCCTGTCTCTGCTGTTTGCAGCACTGGTGGGTATTTTCAGGTCACCAAAATGATGTCCTTGGACAGAGTGGACATTACATTTGAGAATTTAGTCACAGGCGCTTCTGAAAAAGAGTTTCTGTAGGCCTACTTGGGAAACCTATTCTTGGGACTCATGTTCTCAGGGCAGCACCATCTAAACATGGAACACCCTCCCGAATGCCTGGCATGTCCAGTACCTTCCAGAACATCCACAGGGACATCTTGCACAAACTGCTCCCACCATCTCCGATACATGGGTTTAGAGGTCCATTCTTGTATTTCAAATTTGCACAAACGTCCCGCAAGATACATCACTGCCACGGCTATGATCTCTGGCTCCCACTGCAGTGACAGGGTCGTGCAGAGACTAGTTCAACAGGAAAAAGAGATGACTTGACTTGGAGGGACAAACATTTGTGAATAACTCAGAGCATGAAACATAGCTGCGGCGTCTAGATGTCGACTTGCTTGTTCTCTGAGCATAGTCAAGTGAAGTATTACACGCCTGTAAGAAGCAAGCTTCTAGTCCCCTAAAAGTGTAAGTTACTTTAACTACAATTCCCCTCACATGCACTTTGTTCCCCATTAGATCCCTGGGCTCTAGAGCATGAAGGCTCTAAAACCATTACATCACATGGGTTTTTTGGCAGAACCAAATGGATTCTAATTATTTAGTTGTCAGAACTCTCTGGTGCATTGTTTAAGGCTTGTTTCAAACTGGTGATGAGATTTCAGCATCCTGCATCACCCAGAGCTGGCAGGATGCTCTCTCTGCTGGGAGCAGGTGACCTGCACTTCAGCCCCAGCTCTGCCACTGACGGGCTCTTCTTCAGGCTGAGTCAAGTCGGTTTCCTTGACACAAAGTAAGGGGTTTGGAAAAAGTGACATATAAGTCCCTGTGTATTTAAAAACACTATAATTAAAGACTACACTTTCAGAGATCATTTCTGTAGTTTGTTAAAAATGCTTAATTAAACCAACATTCGAACACACGTACCTGTCATTTACAAATGTCCATGCCATTTGAACCAACTTTTGAATTTTGTTTTTATCACCTAGAAATGGGGG